GTCTCAGGTTGCCGGTTCCCAACTCCACAGCGCAGCCTCGTGCATACGGTGCCGGCGGGTGCTGACCAACCCACATCCATTCACACACTGAGCGCGCACAGCACCCCACCCGCAGCCATTCACACACTGAGCGCGCACAGCACCCACCCGCAGCCATTCACACACTGAGCGCGCACAGCGCCCACCTGCAGCCATTCACACACTGAGCGGGCACAGCGCCGCCCGCAGCCATTCACACACTGAGTGCGCACAGCGCCCAGCCGCAGCCATTCACACACTGAGCGCGCACCGCGCCCACCCGCAGCCATTCACACACTGAGCGCGCACAGCGCCCACCCACAGCCATTCACACACTGAGCGCGCATGCGGCCAGGGGGCTCTGACTGTGCACAGGGGCTACTAAAGTACCAGGTTGGAACCGGGGATCGACCCACCAGTTGCCCATCAGATGCTGGACCCCGGCCATGCATGCAGTTCCTTGGGCCCCGGAACGGCAGCGTGCAGCTCACCTTGGGTTGCATGGAGGCCATGCCATTGGGGGGAAGACGACTCCGGGGGCTCCAATACCAAACTGCCAGTGATGCGTCCCCAGATGGTGATGGGATGCGCAGGTCCGTAGGAGCAATCAACTTGACGAATGGAACTCATACCAGGCAATATACACACAAACAGAGCAACGTAGCGCGGCGGAAGACTCAAAGATATGACCTGACTGACTCAACGCGCCCACCCCATCATCACACATGTAATCGAGGAGGGGGAACACACATGGAAGAAGACCCCTCCTCGCACACACATTTCGGGTAGGGAAGCCACAGAGGATGGAGGTGGGAGAATAGACGAGGTGGGAGCAAGGAGGAGAGGATAAGGGCATACTAGTATGTGATCGCCTAGCAAATCCTCCCCTCGTCAGATCCCCAAAAAAGAACCGTCTGTCTCCCAATGCTGAAATGCAACCTGGGCGCCAAGGCCCACAAATAGCTGCCACCTGATCTCTCTCTCTCTCTCGAAGATAATGAGGAAAAGAAGAAGAAGAAGAAGAATATGGAGGGTTGGAGGAGAACCAGGAGGAAGAAGACGGAGGAGGCAAAGATGGAGGCTGCTCTGCCTATATACCTGGTGAACCGCCGGACGATGCTGAAGGTCGTGCCCTTGTGCGGGCCGCTGGTGCCGCGCACCTATGGCACCCAGATGTGCAGATCCACTGAGCCCCTGAGCCCACCGGCTCTCTCCTGCTCTCTCTCCACAGCACCTACCTCTCGCTCCTCTCCCCAGTCCTCAGCCACACCATCCGTGGCCTGAGGATGGCCCAGCTATATGGCGCTGGGTGCAGTGAGGCTCTGTTGGACCCCCTGATCGGCATTAAGCAGATAGTAATGATGTTTGTAGGGGGAGGGGACAGAAGGGGACTTGCAGCGACTGGCCAATGCTGCGGTCCTGACTACTGACGCTACCGGCTGGCCCCTGGCCGGTATAACCCACCTACAGGTATGGTGCAATCTCCCTCCGACTCTCCGCATGTTCTCTCTTGAACATGGATATGGCTGCTATGGGGCTCCTCGCAAGACTACAATAATAATAATGATAATAGGGGCAGAAAGGCCATCCTGTCAAATTAGGCAGAAGATTAAATTGGGTTGGGCTACGTAGCCTCTTTTTATTAAAAAAAAAAAAAAAAAAGATGGAGTACAGGTTGCAGTTAACTATGGTACGAGGTTGCGGTTGCGGTTAGCTGCAACGCAGGTTGGAGTTAACTATAGTCCAGATTTGTTGCACTTAGCTCTACTAGGTTAACTGCAGTACAGTTTGCAGTTTAACCAAGTACATATTTACTGCAGTTAAAAATCTATTAGGTTAACTGAAATGCAGGTTGCAGTTTAACTGAACTACAGATTTACTGCAGTTAACTCTACCTGGTTAACAGCAGTGCAGGTTGCAGTTAATCATCATAGTGCAGATTCACTGCAGTCACTCCACTGGGTTAACTGCAGTGCAGGTTGCAGTTAACTATAGTAGAGATTTACTGCAGTTAACGGCAGAGCAGGCTGCAGCAGTTAACTACAGTTCAAACTTACTGCAGCTAGCTGGAGTGCAGGTTGCTAGCCTCTGCTGCTCTCATCCATTTTCTCCTCAGCGGCTCAGCCATCTTACGGCTGGGGTGGAATAGACGGGCTTGCCGGTTACACTCCCAACCTCAGCGGACAAACGTTTCCCGTTGCATTCCTCGAGTTTTCTTCTGAATTCAAGTCGTTAATTTTTCAAAGTTCATTCTTCTTCTTCTTCTTCTTCTTTTTTTTTTTTTTTTTTTTTTTTTTTTTTTTAATGAAGGTTTGATCTCATTTATATATGAGCAAAAGGAGGCCGGGAATCCCTCCACATCTCAACCCGGAGTACTGGGGCCAATACCCAGCTTGGGCTTTTACTGGAAAACGGGTCCAGTGTCCCATGCTTCGGGGATCTCCCCTAGTTAATCCACCACCAAATTTTAGAAGACGGCTCCATGCAATCAAACTGTGAGACAATATACTACTCGCACTAAAACCGTGAAAAATAGAAAAAAAAAAAAAAAAAAGAAGAAGAAAGACTTGCGGGGTGGTGAATAGGGGGAGGTGCATTGATGGAGCAGGGGTGGAAATTCCACTTCCTGCGTGCATGTAAAGTTGTTAACTCTTTTTTTTTAACTTTCTTTTTTCTTGTTCAAAAGGACGACGGCCTAAGGCTTGAGATATCATCGTGGAGCTGACCGGGTCCCAGGTAATTCAGAAAATCATTCAACTAGTTCCATCTGGATTCGAACTTGGGTCTGTATTTCAATAGTTCATGGGTGTACCAACTGAGCTAGGCTTGTTGGTAAAAAGTTGTTAAGAAGTAGTAAATAGTAAATACTAAAAAGTAAAAACTCTATTTTCACTTTCTCTCTGCACTCCGACTTGAAGTGCAAAATGTCAGATGCATGTATGAAGATGGCATGACTTTGAGTTTTCTCAACGACATCAAGCTAAGTACATGAGACTGGAGTAATGTGTCATGATGGGATCTGGCCAGGGGCACGATCGATCGCCGGACCTCCTTCTGAGTACCAGACTTTTGCTTTTCTGGCCTATAGCCCTGGTACCACCATATTTACATTTCAATCCCGCAGACATTCTCCATCGGTACCCTTCTGATTCTGACTTACTCCCGACATACCCCTGAGACCAGCCTACTGGTAGTCCTTAGGCTGTTCTTTGGTATACGTACCAGTCACACACATCTGTGTGACATCTTGCGCTTTATACATACCAGTCACACACATTCTGTGTGACATCCTGTGCTGTACTCTAGTTCAGACCGTTGTACGCCAGTTGAACATCGAGTTACTTCTGGTACTCGTCTCTGACTGACCGTCAGGTATGAGTTCTGCAATGGAGTTGGTGTTTGTGAATGCTTGTGTGTGTGTGTGTGTGTGTGTGTGTGTGTGTGTGTGTGTGTGTGTGTGTGTGTGTGTGTGTGTGTGTGNGTGTGTGTGTGTGTGTGTGTGTGTGTGTGTGTGTGTTTTCACACCCAGTTGAGTTCTGTTTCAGAGTGTGGGTGTGAGTCTGTGTGTGCATTTACTACCTCTCACTCTTCCTTGAACCTAGTGCTTGCTACACAATGGTTTAGAAAGTCATATATCAGAACGAAAAATGTCTAAAACTGGCAAATGGTTCATGGCACTTCATGCTTTAAGGAAATCCTTTTTGCTTTTCGTTTAGCCATAAGCCTGAGGTCTGCTTTACCTATATCTATCTCCACTTGTCATTCAGTATTTGTCATGAACTCAACTCCTTTAATTTTATTATTATTATTGCAATTGCGAGGCTCAAGGCCTCGACACGCCCTACTGGGCCCTATTTTCATTACAGTCGGCCGCCGTAAGTGAAGGCAGGCTCGACCAAGGCCTACAGGCCCATTTTTGGGGTCACCACGCAACTGGGGAAATTCAGGCAGTTGCGCAGCGCCAGTTGATTGAGAGCGCCCAGGCCCAGGCTGCCTTTTTCGTATGTAACTGAGGCAGGCCTTGAGCCAGATATGCAACATGGGCCGAACACAGGCTGCGGGCAGTTGGGCACGGGTAACCACCACAGGCCCTGGGCCTGATTCGTTCGGACTGGGGCTCAGCCTCACGGGGCCTACTGGAAGCTTCTGGACCGAGGCCCAATGCAGGCAGGCCGCACGCAGCATGCAGGTCACTTCCATTTAGGAAAGTGCCTGCCCCAGCACTCCTCATTCGGGCACTGGCTGCATGTTGCGCAAGCACTGCTGCAATAGACGCTGGCCAGCGCTCACGCGCTTACGGGCGAGCTGGATGAGCGGCAGCCATAGCCGAGCTGCGCTGCTGTATGCTGGATGGGGCGCATGGTGGTCCTTGGGTGCACGTGGCATCTGTGAGTGGGGGATCGAGGTTGTGAGTGATGCGAGAGACATACCTGGTGCTTGAGGCGTACGGCATTGGCCGAGATCTGCTCGTACTTCGGGGAGCTGTTGACGTCACCAGCGGCATTGTAGATAGGCTAGATAGGATCTGCCAATTGTAGTCTGGGCGCAGAGCGCCAGATAGGATGTCGACATTGGTTCTTTGTTGATGATGATGAGACTATTCCAACATTGTCACTTATGAGCTTTTGCTGTGCTCTTATTTGGTGGAACTTGTGTTCCAATTCTGCTTTTGGTTCGAGGTCACGATTATCTGGTCTCATGTGTATGATGCTGCTTGGTTTCTGAAGTTCGCTATCGCTCATTTTCCTTGCATAATTATTATTATTATTATTATTATTATTATTATTATTTCAAAACGGTGGTAGCCCCTAATGTTATTATGTCTCCATCTGCTTCTTGTCAGGATTTGAATTTTGAACGCATGATCTTGTGTTTTTAACTTTTATGTGTGTAGTACTACTGTGTACCATCCAGCTACATGGGCTACGTTTGAAGACTGAACCTTCTTTGTTTTGTTTCTTTTTTTGGTTTGATTTTCGCAGCTCATTGTTTTGGAGATTACTACAAATATAACAAGAACTACGGCTCCAATACTGAACACGTGTCGTTACTTGGCGGAAGCTCATGGAAGCTTAACGAGGACCCGAACGCAACGATCGATTACTGGGACATCGCCTTTGGCACCGCCAATCTGCTAGCGGTCGGGAACCCCAATCTTACGGTCGTGAGGGCAGCAGAACTCTGGATATCCACTGATTTCATCATGGAAGGGCGAATCAATGGCAACGGATCTATCACTCAACGAGTTAGCAACGACATTGCGATCGTGAGACTCGCACAACCGATTGCCTTCTCTTCCACAGAACTCAATGTACGATCCATCTCTCTCTCCCCTGACGAAGCTTATTTGGAAACAGGGCATGATCTAATCATCTCTGGATGGGGCAGTCTTCTGACAAGTTCAGAGGGACCTATGCCATCGATGTTGCAGACCTTGACAGTCGATCATTTGCTCAATGATTGCAACTCCATGTTTAAGGATCGTGAATACAATTTCATTCCGGAGATGAATGTGAGCATGTGGTATGACCAGGATGAGGTTATCTGCGCCGGGTGCTCTACGAGAGCTTTGGGTATATGCAACGGGGACAGGTCAGTATACAATACATGGCACAAATTAAGTTTCCTCCTCCTCTCTTTCCTATTTTGTTGGGTTTTCCGACTTTTCTTTCTCTAAAAGGAAAAAACATTTAAAGAGCACCGTTGTTCTCCTTCTTGTGAAAAATGGGAAGAGCTTCAAGAAAGAATGGAGAAACACCTATTTTCTTAAAAGTAGCAGAAAGGAAAACAACCATTTTTCAGGAGGACGAGATAGGAAAAACAACCATTTTGTGACAGTCTATGAATTATTAACGAGGGAGAAGACGAAAAGGAGGAGAGGGCAGGGGAAGAAGAAGATGTAGACAAAGACAAAGAGAAACAAGAAGGAGAAGGAGGAGGAGGAGAAGGAGAAGACGACGACGACGACGAAGAAGAAGAAGAAGAAGAAGAAGAAGAAGAAGAAGAAGAAGAAGAAGAAGAAGAAGAAGAAGAAGAAGAAGAATTACAAAATAATTCTATAATAAAATTACATTCTGAGACTAAAATTATCAATTCCATTTTTAAAATTTTCCATCTTACTTCAAAACTTTCCTTGCAAGAAAGCAGTATCCCTTCTAGTTTGAACTGCATGCTAGAGATGGAATGAAAGCTTGGATGAGTTCATGAAATACTTTAATGGACTACCATTCTATTATAAGGAGCTCCAGTCATAAATTGGTTAATCCAATCTAAATTAGAAGATATTTGTTCATTAAGACATTTCATAAACTCATCCAGACTTCCATTCCATCTTCAACAAATAAATGTAGTCGGAAGGGAAGACTCACCTTGAGGGCCAGTTCTTCTTAGCCTGACGACCTATTTTTAGGCTCTAAACCAGGGTACAACTGTGTGATCAACTTTTTGAAGGTAGTGCCTAGGAGGCCAACATGTCACTTGCTTGCCGCCAGCCAATAGGAATTCAGCATGTGGCAAGCAATGACATCGCACAGTTGTGCGACCTCAAGGGTCGGCCCAGGCCCATATCTGGAACAAGCACTTGGGCGCAGCGCGTGGGCCCCGATTGGAAGCTACTAGGCATACGTCGGGCCCTGCACACTTTCCATTTAGGAATTTAAAGTGATCAGCCTCCAGGCGAATCATTCTGGCTGGGGCAAAGTTGTGTAAGCCCTGCCACTTCGGAGGTCGGGCTGCGCGCTGGCCGAAGGCGAGCACGAGCACTCGTGGGCTATGGGCTGCCGAGTTGCAGCGCACGAGGCAGCCATAGCTGGGCTGACCTCGCAGGTGCTGGTGCTGGCAATGGTGGTCATCTGGCACGGCTGGCAGGGGTTGAATTCACTGTGGGTGGTCAGGGTGTGAGCAAGAGGGGGAAAAGAGACACGTACCTGATATATATGCAGAGATCTGTAAGGGTGACTTCTTCATGTACACTGGTCTTCTGGTGGGTAGTTTGTCGTACCTGCAGGCTAGAATAGGTTCTGAGTAGCAGTAGGCTGGGTGTCAAGCACCAATTGAGAGGAGCGACATTGGATACCTTGTTGTTGGTGGCGAGTTGGGGCTGACATACACATTTGAATTCATTGTATTGCTCTTATTTGGCTTGTATATCAGTGGATACTACTTTGTGCTTGGTTAACGACTATCTGGTCTTTGATGTGATGTTGCATTTCGGATTTTTGTATATCGCTCTCACTCATTTTCCTCGCAAAATGACGAAGACCAAGAAAAGTGAAAAGTTGAAAACTGATGATGAAAGATTCTTACGTCGGAGTTGAACCGACTCATCAGGAGGGTGAACCCTCGACAATTTGTGGAAACCCTGTACTGATGGTTTGGGTTATGAACCGTTTGACCCTTGTTGAAGGCAGACTGTCCACAAGCGGAACACAATAGCAGGCAACAACTCGGCGGAGCACCAGGCAATGCTGCCCAAGCAACCCA